TTATCTCATCCCTACATTCCACAGCGGTCTCGACAACATGCACAATAATTCTTGGCAATGTGTCAAATGCCTTTGTTTGCTTGTTGGAAGTGCGATAGGAACCATGGTTATGACCTCTGTGACACTGGGAAGAGGCACGGCAATGCATTGGGTGTGAGTTTCTAAATAATGTGTTATTATGACTCTCAAACAAAGTGAGTGACTCTGCCAAGAATCACAAGCGATACCCCTGGCTGAAGATGAAATAAGTGATGTCATGAGTTGATGAAAACGCAAGGAGTTAGAAGAGTCTCTTAAACTTTACTGCAGCCTGAGAGGACCAAACTGTGACATATTGGTGGCTAATCAATAGTGAGTGGAAATCTCACCAAGTGGACGTACAACATCACAGTGAGTGCTTTCAATCATTTCTTTCTCATTTCTTTTACGGTCAAAGAGGCATCTGGCAAGGACGGCAAGTCTATAAATCAAAAAAAGAAAAAAAGTTCATGACCTTAGAGACGATCACAGGCCAAACTGCAGCCTGATTTTCTAAGTATATGAGGTATAAAAGAAAGAGTAAGAACTTGGCCACGACAAACTCACTCATAAAACTGTAAGATTCCAAATTGGTGCTGGGGTTTTTCTTTCAATCTGCGGAGCTAGAAGACCACAGATCCCACGTTTAAGGCCTGTTTTCATATTTTCCTGTTGACACTAATTACGACCCCATCCATGCACCATCTACCACCAGATAAGGTGGAAATGCTCAACAACAAGCCCAGGACTCACATTGCCCCCCACACCCCCACCCCTCTCTCTCAGCTGACAACAGGAAATGTGTTGATAATGCCATCCCATTCTATAAAAGTTCAGTATCTCTCAGTCTGTGGTAAACAGCAGCCAGACAGCAGCCTTTGCCTGATAAAAACAGTCAAAAGAACAACCCATGTGGCTTCAGGTCACATGTTCTGTCTCTGGTATGTGACACAAGTGACTCTGAGAGATTAAAGGGTACAGAGAACTCGACGTCACTCTACATTTACCTGAGAATGTGATCAAAGTTATATTTACTGCTAATTCACACTCTGGAACTTAACCATTTTTTCCAGACTCCAGAACCACAGTATTAGTCACTTCTGTCATGCATTGTATAGACGGAGAAAAAACATAAATCAAGACATGGGATATATTTTTAATATGCTGCTTAAACTTTAAAAAATGGAACATATTCTGGAAAATACAATAATCTCTTAAATATTTACCTGAGGGATTTGAGATTTCAATGATGCAGAAAACAACGTATGATATGATTGTTTGTCCCACTTTGATTGTGTATCAGTAACTGTGTTATCAGCGGTGATAATCTCACTATCTGTAGTTCCAGTTCCTTGAGTTTAAGAATTTCTTGTGTCAGTTTAACTCATCCTAATTTGAATGGACGGTTGAAATTTAAAGGAGAAAATATTGTAAATTTTAGCTTATATTAAAGAGACTTTTAAAGAAAGAAGACCAATCCCCAGACTTGGAACAATAAATCACACTAACAGTGTGTCAATGGTTCAACAAGACAGACGCAAAACATAAAGAAGAGACGCAGGACAGTGATTCAGGTTTGTTATTTAACCAACACTTAGTTGTAAATTCCTGTCTGAAGGACGACTGTTTGCCAGTTGGCGGGAGTGACAGGCGTTTTGCGTCACCTCCTGTCTCAGCACTGCTTTATAGAAGGGCTTATACCACTGCTGCCACATTCACTATATCTTCTCCAAATGCTTCGGCAGTTACACAAAGTTATTTGTTAACATTCTCTGCCAATCATTCTATTAGCAAGCCTCCATCGCCCTCACACAGACACGGGTCTATTAGGGCTCCGGTGTCGGCTGGACCTGCCATAAACTGGCTGGAGCTCCAGAGGGTTGGCAAGAGACTAATGAGTCTGTTCTGGGTCATTATCGCCTGGAGCAAAGAGCCAACTGCTGCCATCAGAGCTTGTTCTGGTATTTACAGCTTTCACTGTCTCCAAAACAGGCAGGTGTTTTGCTTCATGCTCGCAGGGAGACATGAAAGAGGAAGGGAGGACATCTATTAATCATTAAAGGGAGATGTGATTAGAGAGACTCTTTTGATAATGGACTTTGTCATGCAGACAGTATTTGTCATGATCAGACACAACCCCAGGGTTTTGGTGACCGACAGAAAGGTCATGCCCCACACTTTGAGAACCCCTGCTATAGAGCAGATTTCCAGCTGCACCAAATCTCATTTTGCGATCGATTTTGATAATAATTTTCCATGATCCTGCTCCTCTAAGGGAGATGCAAGAATGTTAAGAAATATCCAGATATTTGTGCTGACCATCAACGTTTCAAAGGTCAGTTAGATAACAAACTTGTCTGTTTCAACACGTCTTTTTCCTGGTGATCACCGACTGTGTGCAGCATTGCCTCTGACATGACATTTTTTGCCTAATGCTCTTGCATCTCAACAGCTGCTTCCTCCTTCAACTATCAAGCCAAGATCTTGGAATTATCCAGAAGCCCTTTATTTATTCTTGCAAGAAAAACATTGCTTGCAGGGAAATCTGAGCAGTGGTTGTTATTGGCACCTTCACTGTGTGACTGCCTGCAAAGTTAAACCTGTAATTATTTTTCCCTCATGCCATCATCATTGGGTTATCCAAAGACAGTAATGCAGAAGATGTGCAGACCACGGCTGCTACACTGACACGAATGCTAAGAGATGGATCCTCTTCCCAGGAGGAACGGCTTCCACAATGTTTCACTCGAATATAAGCATAAAAACTTGATGCTTTGAAAGCGACCCTCGCTGACTTTGCTACACCGTGTATCCACTGACGTTCACATACCTCACCTTTGCATCACAACCTTTGAGGTGACCTGCAATGATCTGCCCTAGTCAATAGTTGTTAAGTGCCCACCGTAAATCTAAAAATGACACCTCTGGCTTGAAGTGCTGGTACCCTGTAGTTAAAGGGTCGGTTTGGGGCTGTGCACTGATACAGCTGAACAAAACACCTGGAGTCCCTCAGCAGCAGCACTGAGCTCTGATGAAAAACAAATCCCAGCTCCCCCTTCCTCTCTCTGCAGTCCCTGCAGCAGGACTGGACTGTGTTTACCCTGGCTGGGATAAACTAAAGGCTACTAGTGCCAGACCCACTGCCAGCACGATGACTCCTGACCCATATTCAAAAGGTCGAGGAAGTTCATGGAGGTTAAAGAAGAAGGCAACCAGCTTCAAACATGGCAACAATATGTTAAATAGAAAATAAAATCAAATAAAACCACACTCACTTTCAGGCAATTTAATTAACATACATCATTCAAATTACCATACACACTGCGCTGCTAGTGTTAAGTGCTCCAGGATTTTATTGCTTTCATACAAATTAAACATTATGAAATGCAAATGATAATAAAAAATCGTATTAATTTACAAATCTAGAAACATCACATTTCTAACACAGTCTCGGTGCGCACTTTACGCACGGGTGGTTGAGCGGGCGCAGGTCAGCTGCAGACTGCCTACCTTGGAGATGGTTAACGGAGTGCTGAAATCCCGTCCTCCCTTCAGCCGAAATCCCCACGGAGAGGTTCCCTTTAGAATTACGGTCTGGGGCATGTTTGCTTTTTAGAAAGTGGCGAAAAGCAGGCAGACGGAGACTGACTGACTGAATGGCTGAATGACTGACTGAGGGAAGAAATGTCCGCGCTCCCCTGATAAAACAGTTCGGGGAAAAAGGCAGAGTGAAGTAGCCGGAGTCTCCTGTCTAGCTGCTAGGCAACCCTGTCCCGACCGTAAAAACTTTCCCCTCCTCTTAATTCAAGTTTAAATAATGAAGCCGCCTCTGACGCGAGATGACGAGTTGTCCTGCCTCCCCCCTTCATTCTGTCTGTGCAGAGTGGGAGGGGATCAAGCCGCCGGGGGGAGTCACGGGGGGAGTCACTTTTTGCTTGGACCTGCGAAGTCCTTCAATTTCAGCTTCAGTGCATAGAAAATAATCATCTTTTTATTCTTTCTTTTTTAAGTAATTGAGATTTCCATTGGGAGTGACCAGGATGACCTCTGCCAAAAACATTAAAATATAGATGATATATATGAGTTTGACACCTCTGGTGTAAATGAAGGAAAACTACTGGTTATGGGCTTTAGATGCATTTAAACAAATAAACAGAAAATATATACAGGTAAAGCAAAAGGTACAAAAAATAATTAATTTTCTCCTACACAATTATAAATGTATGTATTGAACTTGAAAAAAAAATCATCAATCACCAAAACTACTGTAAAATCACCCCGTATGGAGAGCATGGACGTATGTAGTCTGCTAAGCGTGATGGATCCACCAGTTGTCGAGACGGCTCACAAAAAAGAGGGCTGGGGTGAAGTGTGACTAAACAGAAATGAAAATCTTGTGGGGCGCTCACGTTGGCGGATAATCCATCTCATCACTTAAAACTAAGAGCAGTCAGCCACTCACACATCAGGGTCTTAGGCAAAAAGGCAGGCAACAATGAAAACATGGTGACATTTGGATGCTGCGCTGACAGAGGAGACCCCTTGTTTGTGGATTTTTTTGTGGCCCACACTGTGACTCCTACATTTTCCCGTGTTCTATAGCTAGCCTAGACTTTTTCTCCTACAGAAGTGATGACCTCATAGGCATTTCTCAGATGAGACTTTCAGACATTTACAGCCGTGTGGCGCTCTATCAGCAGACCTGAGTCAGTTTGAGTCACACACACACCCGTCCCAGTTACTGTGAGACACCCCGATGTCAAACCAGATGGACCTAAACATCGGTTATTGTCCTTTTTTTTGAATGACGACGTTTCTCTTGCGTGAATGTTCTTTCTTTTTTTTTTTTTAAACTGCTGTGACAAGCTGGAACTGACGATAGTAATCATTTCCACTGACAGTTTTCCGTACGTCATTCCCCTCAGGGCTTTCAGTCGAGACAGGAAAAGTTGACTGACGAAGAATCAATCACTTTCAGTCCTTGTTAACATCCAATGTCTCTCAAAACAAGACCAAGCAGGATGACAACAGGGGTCAAAGACAATCTTTAAAAGATATAAGGTAAATGTAACTGTAGACGTTTTCCTTTCTCATTGGTTTCTTCAAAGGGTAGACTAACCATAGAACAAGACAGGATATGGAAGCTGCCGTCTGCAAGAAAGACTTATTGACCGCATGAGCAGGATGACATTTCGGATATGTATCTCCTTCAAAGCCCAACGCCAATAAATCACAGAGAGTCAAAGAGTCAAACCACGGAACAGAGTGCTCTTATCTTTCTGTTCTTTTCCTTCACATGGTCATTGTTGGAGAAATGCTTACAAACCTATTTAATCTCTGGTTTTAACCATGCAAAGACAAAAAAAAAAAAAAAAAAAGACAAAACCAGTTAGGACGAGGATGTGTGATAATCATGAACTGTCTCCATCTGCTGTCAGGGCGGATGATGTCATCTCGGTTGTTGCCTAAACGTTGATTCCTCACCTGTAATCATTTTAATGGAATTCTATTCCCACTAATTGCCCAGGTCGAGATACAGACTGTACAACCAGGACTGCTTTTGTAACTGAATATCTTTGGGCTTTTTTAGACCTCTATGGTTCTACAGACCAAGTTCATTGGGTTCGTCAGAACTTTTATCTGATTAATCATAGGTCAGGTGAGGAATCAACCTGATAATTGAGATAAATCAACATTCCCTAAATGACAAAAAAACTATATTTATTGGAAAAACAGAAATAGAAAGAACAGAAAGACAGACATAGAGAGCATTTACACGTTTAACGCTTTCATTTACACGTTATTACGACCACAATTTCACCTACTCCGTGTGAGAATGTGACTCAGTGTTACTGTATGTGCACACTACAGTATGAGTCTGATTGGTACCATATTTACTGCATTCCCGGAATAATGCGGATGCCCGCGCACACATCAATGACTACTTTTATGTCCTGTCCTCAGAGAATGGTTAACTCAGGCAGGAAACAATGATGCCACAGAGCTGTGGCTCGAGCACCCTATGGAGAAGCAAATAGTTACAGGCAAATCACGAAGCTTAATTTGTGCGGTTGCAATATTGCTGAGTCAGCAATGGAAAACAGATGATTTTATAACATAAACCCGAGGCAGGCTCGATAAGATCCCGAGCGAGAGTTTTACTTATATGTCATTAACGGGTTAAAATGGTTATGGATGGAGCAAAAAGCCAAGCCAACAATGTGGTTTTCCTCTTCAGGTATTACTTTACTTGATGTTTTATACTGGCTTAATTGTTTAACAGTACTTCACTGTTAGTACTACTTCATGTAGTAAACAGCTTCTGTGGGCTCAGGTAATGTAAATGCATACAGTACATGTGGTATATTTACTGTGTAAGGTACTGTAGTGTCACTGCTGTCTGTAAAATAAGTCATTAAAAGTTGTTGCGCTTACGTGCAACTAATAATGTGTGCAACAGAAGGAGGAGCAGGTTTCACATTGCGATTCAGGGTATTACACACCTCTTTTTCCATGTGTGAGCTTCGCAGAAAGAACAATTATTAGGTGCAGTAGGTAGCATATGGTCTGAGGATGGTTTTACACATTAGAACGTGTAATTATGACAAATTGCTCTTGCGACATATCTGAAACATTCTTGTTCAGAGATGTGGCAAAATGTCGTACATGTCGTATTACTGTCTGTAGAAGGAGGGTTGACTGTAGTGACAGATCAACCCTGGCTGTGAGTAAACACAGTACAAACACATGTACAGGGTTGGACTATGACCTGAACGTACAGCTCTGAGGATGTGATGCAACCTTCTGGTTGTCAGTACCACACAGGCAGTATTACAATACCTGAATTCAAGAGTAACTTGTAAAGATTGGTTTGCCGTTCCCTCAGCCACACAAAGGCGCTCTCATATCCGTGTGTGTGCAGCGTGTACAGACAGCTCCATATTTTCATGCATCATTGGCCACTTTATAACTCACCCTTTTGCCCCGCAGCAGCTTCAGACACACAACAGAGCAGAGTCAGAGCAGTCAAAGCAGGGCAGTCTGTTATTAAGTCAAAGTCTGTAACCCAACGATCCTGATCCTCGGCCCTGACCAAATGGTTGCCTTGTTTACTATGGCAAAGTAGTTCCTCAGTAGTGAGGTTTTTGTAAGTTGTGATTTAAACTTCTTGATATTGTTTTGGCTCTTCCCTTTGGGGGACAACACAGCAGCTGATCTGTGTCCCCCCCACCACCCCCATGGTCCTTTTTAATGATGTCAGTAATCTTCTAGGTGTTGATTGGTTGATTACAATTAAATGACATTAAATGTTAAAATCTGAAGGAAAACTTTTTTTTCTCATGCCTTTCTCTCCTTGTCCCTCCCTGCCTCCCCTTTCCTCTCGCTCCCCCTCACTTTCTCAGTCCTTCTCTCACACAGAACGTCTAATTTTGCTCACCAGGATGAGTCACTGAAACGTATCCACCAAACCATCTGTTGATGAGCTACACACAGTGATCTCAAGCTTCTTTAGCAAAAAACCGTAATTGGCACTAAGCTCCCCGATTACGCCAGGATAAGCCAATCAGAGGCACCGACTGAGTGGCCTATTTATACCCAAAGTCAGAGCAGTTATATAAAGGACCACATCAACAGGAGGATGATGAGTTCATCTGTTTACTTCTGTCCAGAAAGCATGGATATGGGCAACTTCTGCTAATGGTACTGACTGACTGATCGAGTTCATTGTCATTTTAATTCACCACCCCGACTGTTACTACTACTAATGTCACTACCACTAATGATAATAATAATAAGAATTATTATTGTTGTTGTTGTTGTTGTCATACCGTTGTCACGGCAGATGTGGCCCTGTTTTAACGTTGCCTTTCCCTTCCTGACTGTAACCCAACAATCCTGACTTTCTTCCTGTCTTTCATCAATGTCTCCATACAGTTATGGCTCCATGTGGAAGGTGCTTAACAGCAAAACAAAGACAAAATTGAGGGCTCAAGAAGAAAAAAGAAGTTTAAGCCAATACCAGAGAGTTAATCCACTTCTAGAGGAAATGAAAATAAATGACTGATATAAATGAAAACGATTCTCCGGGCCTTGGTTCTGGCTTCGTCGTGGTCTGATATTGATTTAAATCTAAGTGAATCATGTGTAAATGTCCCTCACAGAGAAACGTTTCACCAGATCAATGCTGTAACAATGTGTAGTTTGTGTCTGTGTGGGAAGTTTCTGGGCTTACAGAGCTACAAATGTTTCTCACAGGCAGCCGTCAACATCTGACTTCAGCACATTCACCTCTTTGTGTTTATCAACAGTCGATGTGCGGAAACAAAGAGTTGAAAGTCGGCACTTCTGATGCCAGCTCGCATCTGTGACTGCCTGCCTCCGTCCTCATAATCTATCAAAGTTCATAGTGAACAAGTACAGTACACAATGTATGTTTTGCATAGCTTTATATTGTTTTTTCGCTACATACTGTATATACTGTACAAATATTACATTAAACTTAATCCAAGAGCTTGTTTTGAAGGTAGCTGGTATTTTATTAGATTGACATTTTAGAAGAGAGAGTACTTGATGTAATACTTTGACAAGATACGATTAGCGATGCTGTACAACGATCATTAGCGATGTCGACGACGAGACCTCACAAGAAGAGCAGGTGTCGTGAAGAAGATTACACAGATCATAAATGCGGAGGGGAATCCCCTGGAATGTACGTCACTTCACAGTACATTTGACTAAGGAGAGAGAAACCAAGCAAGGATGCTATTAAATGCCCATTATCCAAATGTGCCTTTTGTTTAGAATGGTTCAGTTTGGGGTTTTTACTG